ATTTAAGTAAAGCGAGAACTTTCTGTAATTTAAGCTAATGGCCCTTGGGAAAATTGAGATTTTTAAATGTTATCATTTGTGATTGTAAATCCAAATTGGATCTGGTTGAAAGTTGTCCTGAGACTAAATCACAATGTGCTCTTATTTACAGTGAGATGTGTTCTCCTATTAGGACAATTGTGATAAATCAGAATTTAGTGCAAAATATACTTAATATTTGGCACTGAAGTAATATGCTTGAAAACTGCATGGATCAAGAAAACCTGAGCTCAAATTCCATCTCAGACACTGTGTGTCTGTGTGACCCTGAGTAAGTCACTTCACCTCTGTTTGTTTTGGTTCTTGTGAGGATCAAATGAGATACACTGTAAAATGCTTGGCACAGTGTGTGGGTATATAAAGCACTACTTAAATGTTAGCTTATTATTATTTTTGTCACATGTAATTACTTTATACTGGCTTTAAATATGATTGGTACAGAATGCCAAATTGATAATGATTTTCTATATAAGAAGGTTCAGAAATGCATTCGGGGGGGGGGGCAGCTAGGTGGCACAGTGGATAGAGTGCTGGCCGTGGAGTCAGGAGGACCTGAGTTCAAATCCGGTCTCAGACCAGACACTTGACACTTACTAGCTGTGTGATCCTGGGCAAGTCACTTAACCCCGATTGCCTCACAGAAATGCATTCAACTGAATTGATGTTATTTGGTTGACCAAAAGGGTTTTGTGTTATGTTTTAAAATACATAATATTGTTTATATTATTTTTAGGCTTTTAATATTTCTTATACTATGATTTTTGGGAAATCATTGTATAAGAAATGCTGTTAATTTAAAAAGAGATACCTAGAGGGTGATACATTTGTATCATTAGAAAATTAACTTCACTTTTTTAGTCTACATGATATTTGAATTAACTGTTAAATAATGTAGTCACAAAGTTTAAAACTGTTAAATATTTAATTGGATCTATTTTGCTTTGAAATGGATAGCAACTTACTATTTGGAGTGAAAATAAAGTGTTACAGACCTCTTAAGTTGTGCTTACCTGTCAGGTTCCTCCGGACTTTCTATTTGGTCATAAGATCTCATTGACCTGGGAGAGAAGCTGCTAACAACAAGTTCCAAAGTTCTAAAGAACTTACAAGTTTGCTTGTAGTAAAGAGTGAATTTTATCTGATAGATTATTTGACCATTGCTTATGAAAATTAGTAATGTTAATGTTAATAAACTGGATGTATTTTTTTTATTAATTTATTTTGATTTATCAACAATCACTTCCATATGCTTTTGAGTTGAAAATTTTTCTCCCCCTTCCTCCCCCCACCCTCCCCATGACAGCGCACAATCTGATATAGGTTTTACATAATAAACTGGATGTACTGAAGTTACATCTTTGAGTCAACTTATAACAACAGATCTTAGATTCAAAGATTTTATATTGCCCTTAGAGTTATCAGGCAATACAGACATCTGCTAATCTGGGGGATAGTATTCTTCTGGGTTTTGAATGACCTATCATATATTTGCTATATGTGTGAAATTCCAGAATGTGATTATTCTTAATTCCTAATGATTTTTGCTTCAGTATAGATTTAAACTAGGAAGGATAAATAAGATAACACCTTATATATGTTTATTGTTCATTGTTATTGCAACATGAAAAAAAGTGATAACCTAGCCCTAAGCTATGATTAGTGAAATTTTCTATTGTAGGTAAAATATCTTGGGACTATAATTTGATATTGTTCTGAGTTTTGATTTCAGGTATGACTGTCTAAATAGTCCATCATTAAGCCAATAGTCCATCATTCAAGGGAAAGATCCTGTGCTGCTCAAAGGGAATGCAGTCTGAGAATGGATGTTTGTGCCTGGAAAGGGTGAGAGGATGATCTTGCATAAGCAAAGGTAGTTTCCCTATTGTGCTATTTCCTTTCTGAATAAGAAATTTTCCCACCTGGTTAATTCTGAACTTGGCTATGATATCCTGTGAATAATATGGAACTTTGCATGCATGACTAGCTGTTAACTAAGACTCTTACCTGGAATCAAAGAAAGCTAAGGGAGTTTTCCCTCTGTTATGCTTATGTAAGGTCAGTCTGTGTCCTTGAAGGAATACATATTCATAAATAAGATAAAATATCTCATTCGTTCAGGATGGTATGAGGACAATATATAGCCTCAAAAAGGGGGAACAGAATAAAGATGTAAAAGTTTTAAATTTTATTGGGGCAGTAAACTTCAGTTTGAAAAAAACAAGATGAGACTGTTGTCCCTAAGAACTAAGATGCATGCACACACATACACATCCAAATGTTTCTAATGGGATACCTAGGCCACGAGGATGTTTTAGTAATACATTTTCAAAATTGGATTAAAGATTTTTACATATAAAATTGCATTAATAACTGTAAAGAAATTTTAAAATCATGTGTTTTCCTATTTTGAAGTTTCTGCTAGTATTGAGACAGAAGGACTCATTTTAACAATGGATTTTTTTTAAAGATTCTTCTTTCAACCCACAGATAGCATTGTCCATATCAGGCATGGGTTTCATGTAAAGGTAGAAAGAGCAAGTAGTATGTAAAAACTAAAATTCTTTTAACTTTAAGATGAATTATGAGTTCTTAATTTTATGTTCTTCTTATAGCTCTACTGCAAATAGAATTAGCTCCATAAGGTTTGAGCTAGTTTTCACCACATGAACTAGTTACTGGAAAATCAAATTTAGGAGGTTATACTAAATTGTATTAAGTCGTTGCTACTGGTAGATTTTAGTAACATTAAATAGGGAATCTCTGCAAGTGACTTGAAACCAGAGAAGTAGATCTACTAGGAGGAGCCCCTGAAAGAGCTGCCTTGTGAACAAGGCCTATTCCAGAATTTTCAAGGGAAGATATTTCCAAGATTCAGACAACTACATGTGACGGTTGGGACTCACAATGAAATGTGATGATTACATGGGCATTGGAAGTAGATTACCAAGAACAAGGAGACTTTATGTTATTGACAATCATTATTGTATTATTTTGACTATTTGGTTTTATGGGTTTATATTTGCCTGCAAGGAAGGTATGCCCACATTCCTTTTATTTATTGTTCAGGGATCAGGGCCATTCCTCCTACATCTTTTGTCAACTGAAAGCCTGTTTTCTGTTTTTATTAACCTCATCTTACCAAAACTTGACTTATAAAATAATGTTAACTGTTTGACAAAGGGAAGTTTGAGCTTCATAGTGATTTAGTTATTTGTTAGCTACCCTAGCTAAACGGTAGTAAATCTCTCCTCTTAATCAATCATCATGAACCCTCTAAATATAGTTTAATCTGTAACCTGACTTAGTTTACCTATAGAGTCTGTTTAACAAGGTCTGTTCCCTTAAAAGATGTATGAAATTATGTCTTTGCTAAGCTAAGCTTGTTCAGCTTTTATGACATTGAAGGAAATATGGGATTATGATTCTTTTTGTTTTACTCATGGCCACAGTACACTTGTTTCCTAGTGTAAGTTTAAGTTACCTGATTTATACCCCCTGAGACTTATTCAAATTGATCCCTCTGATTATGAGACATTGGGAAAAGTTTGTCACCAATCTGGCTCTTACTCCAACTTAAAAAGCATTCTATCGAGCTCTTGATGAGATAGGTAGTGAGAAAGATGCCATTGAGTCAGGGTTATTTTCAATCAACTCCCTTTGAAATCATAACCCAACTTTCTGTGTCTGTAATTATGCTTTTGCTGATATGAGAATGTTGGGCTTTAAGCCTAAAAGAGGGAATTATGGATAATTTTTTATCATTTATTAATATTGTTTGGACCTAATTTTATTTAACTAGACATTATTGAAACCCAGAATGTTGCCCTGACCTCAGTAACTCTCTAGGAATGCCAGAGAGGGCTATAAGGAATTTTGGGATCCCCCAGATCCTAGATCCATCCCAAATAGTCTTTGTTTGGGTCCCCTCACCCAGGTCTTATTTTGAATCCACCCAAGCTTATGTTTTAGGTTCCTTTTGTGTTTTGGCTTTGTCAAAATTTTCTCAAATGTTTATATTTACTGATATCCATCTAAATCTACTTTGCTTTCAATTTGTCCTCTCGGAAAAATTACTTAACTGCGTGCAGGTACCCTTGTCTAGATCCAGAGCCTGAAGGAAAGGGAATCACACCTCCTTTCTGTCTCCCTGTTCTCTACCAAATGACCTAATAAATTTTTTTCTAAAACTATTTCAGATTTTGGGATTATTCCTGCAAGCAACACTGCTTATATATATATATATATATATATATATATATATATATATATATATATATATATATATGTCTATAATCACTATTATACTTAATTTTAACATGAATATAAGGAGGTATTTGCTCCCTCTGCTCACCCCTACCCCCAGCTCAGTTGACTAGCCACAAATGATCAGGTGTTAATGTGTTAAAAAAAAAAAAGGTGGTAATACCCTATTATCCTTTTACACAGTGGGAATATCTCTCCATAATGGAGTGGAAAGGGGCAATAACATTGGCTGGGCTGAAAATTTGGTTGCCCCAATGGCCCTTAAAAAGGCTGAGTTGAGGGGCGGCTAGGTGGCACAGTGGATAGGGCTCTGGCCTTGGAGTCAGGAGGTTGTGAGTTCAAATGCAGTCTCAGACACATGATACTTACTAGCTGTGTGACCCTGGGCAAGTCACTTAGCCCTGATTGCCTCACCAAAAAAAAAAAAAGGCTGAGTTGTTAATTCAATAGTCTAACAGTTGGAGCCAGCAGTAGAAGATCCCAATGACTCTTTGGACGTAGAGAGGGGATTTTTCTCTTCTGTCTTCTGCCCCCTCCCCTCTAGCTCTCCCAATCATGGTCCTTTGAAGTAGAATTAATTTTTTTTCCTCTTTTTTTTTTTTAAAAGGAAATTGGAGTTAAGTGATTTGCCCAGGGTCACACAGCTAGTAAGCATCAAGTATTTGGGCTGAGGCCACTAGATTCTGGGAGAAACTTACCCTTAGATGTGTCCTCTGTTTTACTCTTGATGGGAACCGGAGGGTTTTCACTAAAAAGGGAATGAGAAATAAAAGAAATTTTTGATTTGTAGCCATTATCAAACCCTAGAAAGATTCATAAAGTCTCTGAGAAAAATAAAGCTACATGGCTAACAGATTATCCTTGAAGAAAATTTAGTCCACCGATTCTCAAAGTGTAGTCTGCAAACTGGATTTTTGTATATTAATGTTTACAGACATGACCGCATTTATACTTTCTTCTTCGACATCAATGAATACTTTTTTTATTATATTTAACCAAAAGAATATATAACTTCACTAGGCCTTATCTGCTCCATTCTCCCCAAGAATTCATTCTGGATAGGTTTTCACTCCAATATTCCAATGAATTTGTGGTTTCCATCAATATGGTTATTTCCTACAAGAATGCATATCACCATACGTCCCTGACTGCCCATCCTGTGGAATTCTAATTCAAGTTCTGCCATGAGATTACAGCACGGTGTCTTGCCCAGTATTCTGAGATCCATCCACACTATCTCTCGACAAGTTTCTACCAGTGGTGATTAATAGTAACTGACCTTAGTATGGAACTTTAAAGTTTGCAAACTGCTTTACATACAACATCTCATTTGATCCTCCCAACAAACTTAAAAGGCATTAGAACAAATGTGATTGTCTCCATATTAGAAAGCAGACAAACTCAGAGAGTGAAGTGACTTGCCCGTGGTCACACATCTAATAAATGGAAGAGATAGATTTTGAACTCAGGTCTCTTCAGACTCCAAGGCTCATACACTTTCATTATGCCATTGCCTCTTAGAAGGTGGGGTAAGTGTTCTCTGGCCCCAGGAAAGTTTGGGTAATAATGATTCACTCTATTTCTTTGTCTCTAGATAGCTTAGATCATTCTTTGTTATCTAGGAAGACCAGCTCTTTCCTCTTATAAAGCTTCCTGGACCAATGGAGGCAAAGAGTGGGGAGCTGTTACAGATTAAACACATTCTGCTGTTTCTCATAAGTAAAAGCTAAAAATTTGCTCCAAATTATCTAGCATTTCTTCTTCCTACATGATGTCTGTTGTGTGAGGGATATGTGAGAAAGTTTGGGAGGAGGGCAGAAGACTGTAGATTAAAAACACTATAGAAATCCTGAGCAAAGAGAAGGAAGAACAGATTGAAGACTAAAAAAGGTGGTCCTCCCTATATAACAATATTTACAGCAGCTCTTTTCATGATAACCAAGAATTGGAAACTAAGGGTTCTCCTATTAGGGACAGCTAAACAAATTGTGGGATATGAATGTAATAGAAGACTGTAGTGCCATAAGAAATGACAAAATGGACAGTTTTAGAGAAGTATGGAAAGACCTCTATGAACTGGTGGAGAGAGGAGGAGAACAATCTATACAATGATAACATTATAGAGAAAATAATTTTGAAATATTTTAAAATTCTGATCAATGAAATGATGAGTCCAAATGAATGAAGATGAAACATGCCATTTACCTCCTCCATAGAGGTGATGAACTTAAAACACCAAAAGAGATACGCACTTTTGGAGACAACCAACGAAGGAATTTGTTTTGCCAGGATATGTATGTATATATTGAGGGTTTTGCTTTTTAGAATTTTTAAAATTTGCTTGGTGATATGAGGGAAAGAGAAGGGAGGAAGTAGGAGAGATTATTGTGAGAAAAAAAAAGATAAGTAGTTTAAAAAAGAATTATGAATTATGATATTATCAAAGACATCATTTTAATAGTTTTTCCAATTATATGTAAAGACAATTTTTAGCATTCATTTTTACAATTTTTTTTTCTTTTTGGCTAGGCAATGGGGTTAAGTGACTTGCCCAGGGTCACACAGCTAGTGTTATGTGTCTGAGGCTGGATTTGAACTCAGGTCCTCCTGACTCCAGGGCTGGTGCTCCATCCACTGTGCCATCTACCTGCCCCCTACAAAATTTTGAGTTCCAAATTTTTCTTCTTCCTTCCTCCTTCCCCTCCCCTCTTCCTAAAACGATAAACAATTTGATATAGGATATATATGTGCGATCATGTATAACATTTTCATATTAGAAAGATACCATGTTTTGAGAAACTTTGCATCTAAAAACAAGCCCGTCATTAATGCTTATTTTTATGTTATAAATATATATGCATCTTAAATTACTTTTATTTTATGCTTAGGATCAGTTTGCATGTTGATAAAGTTGTAAAAATTCTAAAAAAAAATTAAAAGGTGGCCCTCAGAAATGCATTGAAACAGCAAAAAGTTAGCCCCTTTTCCTTGGAGGCTCCCTTTCCCACCCACCCCCAACAACTGGGAAGGAAACCTATGGCTTTTAATTTTTAATTAACCACAAGTTAATTTAATCAGTTTCATTTAATAAGTTATTTTGTTAATCAGTTTTCTTCTTAAAGATTTAGCCCAATACAAACTGTGAAATCAAACCTTAAAAGCTTTCTGAAAGAACTGCAGTTTAACAAGTGAAAATTAGAAGTCTAACGATAGCACAAACAATATTATGTCTAACATAATAGCCCTTAATAAATCCTTAATTTAGTCAAAGGATTTGGGAGAAGCACTGTACCTCATGGCTCCTAAGAGCAGGATGAGGAGAAAAGTTAGGTTTTTCATTTATTTCCAGTCTCCTTCCTATAGGCCCAACCATATCCTGTCCTTACCTAGCTGCTTAGGTATCCATTCTTCATCTGAATCTCCAGATTCCTCTACTTTGGCTCTCTTATTTTGCCTGCACATGAAAGCTGGACGAGGGGCACTGAGACCTGAAAGAAAACCAAACCACTTTCATCTATAAGAAAAACAACAGTGGAGCATTAAGGGTGGGCAGATAGTGTCAGTAAGCTCATGAAACTGCAAGGGATGCAAAAATATGGACTGAGCTTGGTAAACATCAAGAGAATGCAAAAAAACAAAAACAAAAACAACCATGAAGACACAGGCCCTAGCCTAAAGGAGATCATTGAATAAAGAAGGAAAGTATGTTATAAATTGTGGAAGCTGAGAAAGTATGTGGAGGAGAAAGGTGGGTGTGGGTTGAGCATTTGAGGGCTGGTTAACACCCTTCTCTCTTTTGGTCCACTTATCCAACTTTTTCTATTACCTATTTTAATCATTGCCTCATAGTTCTGCTTTATGTTCTTAAGCCGGACTTTCTCCCATTCTCTCAGCTCCACCCACTGCTTCTTAGAGAAGTATGTGGATATATCCTTGAAAGTGTCTTCTCCCTAGGGAAGTGAAAACACTAGGTGTCAGCAAGTATCACCTGAATTCTAAGGACATTTAGTGAGATGCTATCTTCCAGGTAAAGGATCATGCTGTCCTCTCGTCTCCTCCCATTTCTCAGATTGGACCAATGATCATAAACATTTCAAATTTCCTCAATTTACTACGTAAGACACTGTCTTGGGCATGCAATTCAATCCAACAGATATTTGTTATCTACTTTGTGCGTGGTATTGCACTAGACGATGGAGATACAAAGACAAAAATGAAAAACATTCTGGCCCTTAAGGTGTTTGTAGTCTCACTGAGGGATTCAACATGTAAACAGATATAAATAATACAAGATGATTTAAGGAGAGGAAGAACACTAATAATTAGAAGGAAAACAGGAAGGTCTCCTATGGGGGGGGGTGGTAGCTAATCTGAACCTGAAGTTCTAAAAGGCTGAGGTGAGGGTGAGGAAGGAAGGCATTTGGGGCATGGGAAATGTGCAAGTGCAAGGAGGTAGTAGATGGAAAACTAAGGAATACGCAATAAGGCTGGTTTGGATGGCATGTAGAATGCCTGACAAGGAGTCTGGAAACAGTCTGATTGCCAAGGGCTTTAAACAGGAAGCTGAGCTTCGGGAAGACGCTGTGGGAAGGCTGGATGGGAGAGGGGCACTAACTAGGGCGAGAGGGGATGATGCTGGACAGAGCCGTTGGGGGAGGGGCTGGAGTGGACAGACCTTGGCACCTAATTGCAGAGGGGGAGGGGTGACAGCTGAGGAAGAGGGAAAAGGAGGAGGGTTGGGTTGCAACCCGGTGACTGGCAAGGGTGGAGGGGCCGGAGCAGGTTCCTTTTTGGATTTCGGCGGGGCATCCGTGTGGCGATGTCCAGTAGGGAGGTGGATGAGTGTAGGGAATGGTCCTGGGGGTCGTGGAGAAAACCAGGGAGCCAGAGCCTCGGTGGGGGATGGGCTGGGGGGGAGGGGAGGTTTTCTCCCGTTCCTTTCCTTTAACGGGGAATGTCCCAGCCACGTCCGTCCTCGTTCTTCCCTGCTTGGCCCCGCGTGGCTCTGAGGGGTCCCATCGATCTCTGACCCGAGGCCCCACCCCTCCCTCGGTGAGCAGGCTCTTCACCTGACATCGCGGCCCCCCTTTCTCTCCTTCATCTTCTTCGGGGCTCCCGTCTGGGGAGCTGTCCCTGCTCATCCTGAGGGACCTGGGGGGAGAGAGAGGGTGCTGAGCCAGGGGGAGGAAGGAGGGGCTCTGACGGGGGCGGGGGGAAGCCCAGGTGTCAAGGTGGGAGCTGAGGGAAGAAAGAGGCCCCTGAGAGCCAACCCCCCGAGGAGAGGGAGCGCTGGGGGACTGTCCGCGCGGGACTCCTGCTCGGGGGCTGTCACACTCGGAGGAGAGCAAAGACCCAGCAGTCCCCACGGGGCTCCCTCGCGGGGCAGCCGGGGACCTCTCCTCCCAGGCCCAGCTCCGGGTGCCACGTCCTTCAAGCAGCTGCAGCAGGTGCCAAGTGAGAGAGCGAGCGGAGCCTCAGGCGGGGCGGGGCCACACCCTCCCGCCAAAACCCAGCGGGCCAATCCTCGAGGGAGGCGGCCGAGAGCTGACCAATCAGCGCTGGGGACTGGGAGAGACTGAAAAGCCTCGGAGAGCCTGGCGCCACAAGCGGGGGGGGGGGGGGGGGTAGAGCAGCCGGAGCCACTGTCCTCCCGCGAAAACCCAGCGGGCCAATCCTCGAGGGAGGCGGCCGAGAGCTGACCAATCAGCGCTGGGGGAGTGGGAGAGACTGGAAAGCCTCGGAGAGCCTGGCGCCACAAGCGTGGGGAGGGGGAGGGTGGGGGCGGGTAGAGCAGCCGGAGCCACTGTCCTCCCGCCAAAACCCAGAGGGCCAATCCTCGAGGGAGGCGGCCGAGAGCTGACCAATCAGCTCTGGGGACTAGGAGAGACTGGAAAGCCTCGGAGAGCCTGGCGCCACAAGCTGGGGTGGGGGTGGGGGGGCAACCAGAGCCACTGTCTTCCCTCCAAAACCTAGTGGGCCAATCCTCCCAGGAGATGGGGCTTGGGCAGCCCCAGCCCCCTCCCCCCAAAAGTAGCTGTAGGACTTTGAGACTTAATCTTCCTCACTGCCCTTAGAGGCCTCCTCTCCTCATGGCCTCCAGGCCACATTACTGACCCCTAACTCCGCAGGTGTGATTCCCACACCCCACACGTGTGATTCCCCCCAGACTCACTCCCTATGGCTCATACTCTATATTCATGACTCCCCAAAATTCACAATCTCCATCCCAGAGAACCTGCACCCCACATTCCTGACCTGCTCCCAGACACATCCCTGGTCCCCACATCTGTATCTCTTATGCACATCTGTGACCTCCAGCCCTCCCCAGTTAGCCTGCACCCCCTTTCCTGATCTCCCCATACTACAGATCTCCCTAACCTTCACAACCCACCTCCCAGACCTGCCCAAACAAACCTGCCCTCCCCTCACGTTCCTGACCCCACACACTGAAAAACCCCTCTTGCCCCTGAACTCCTCACACAGATCACAGGAGCCCCCCATTGTCCCTGAACTCCTCACACAGATCACAGGAACCCCCCAACCCCTCTTGCCCCTGAACTCCTCACACAGATCACAGGAGCCCCCCATTGTCCCTGAACTCCTCACACAGATCACAGGAACCCCCCAACCCCTCTTGCCCCTGAACTCCTCACACAGATCACAGGAGCCCCCCATTGTCCCTGAACTCCTCACACAGATCACAGGAGCCCCCCAACCCCTCTTGCCCCTGAACTCCTCACACAGATCACAGGAGCCCCCCATTGTCCCTGAACTCCTCACACAGATCACAGGAACCCCCAACCCCTCTTGCCCCTGAACTCCTCACACAGATCACAGGAGCCCCCCATTGTCCCTGAACTCCTCACACAGATCACAGGAGCCCCCCAACCCCTCTTGCCCCTGAACTCCTCACACAGATCACAGGAGCCCCCCATTGTCCCTGAACTCCTCACACAGATCACAGGAACCCCCCAACCCCTCTTGCCCCTGAACTCCTCACACAGATCACAGGAGCCCCCCATTGTCCCTGAACTCCTCACACAGATCACAGGAGCCCCCCAACCCCTCTTGCCCCTGAACTCCTCACACAGATCACAGGAGCCCCCCAACCCCTCTTGTCCCTGAACTCCTCACACAGATCACAGGAGCCCCCCAACCCCTCTTTTCCCTCATTCTCCCAAACGGCATCCTTCCATTTCGCAGCCCTGAGTCCTAAAACCTTCACAGCCCTGACCCTCACCATGTATTTTTAAAACCCTGTAAAAAAATCACTCCAGACCTCCTTCACCCCAAACACACTACATCTCTGATGCCCCCATACATCCACCACAGATTTCCAACACCCTCCATGTCCCTGATTGACCGCACCACTCATATCTTTGATCCCCAAGCACCCTTAATATTGTAGGCCCCCTCACCCCTCACATCCCTGACCCCCACCCCTTTCATCACACCCCCCTCTGCCAGACATATACTGAAGACCTCCCTACACACCACACATACCTGACCTCCCCATACCCTCAAGTTCCAGACCCACACACAAGACCGATGCCCCCCACCATCCCATCCCCTTCTTGTCCCAGACCCTCTCCTATCCTTGACCCATCTCTACACACCCCTCATATTCCAGATCCACACACTCTCCTTCACATCCTATCCCCTTACATTCCTGATCCCTCCTCACACAAGAGACAGCCCCCCTTATATCCCAGACCCTAATGCAGTAAGGGAATGATTCATAATGCCTTGAATTCCATAGGTATTTGAGGTATTTGAGGCTGGAGGGCATAGCCAATAGACATTTATTACCTTGACTTGGATGGTGTGGGAACCTGGGACGCTGAAAAGGTTATGTGGGTGTGGAGAATGCATTCCCTGGGTGACTAATACCATCCCTTCTACCATTCCTATTGGCTTAGGTTAGGAAAAAAGGTGCTGTATGTGTGTGTGTGTATGGGGGGAACCTTGCCAGGCTTTTCTGGACCCCAGTCTAAGGAAAACTGAAAATTCAAACAATATGTATTAGACACCTACTGTATACAAGAAGGCGCTGCTCTTGGGTCTAGCAATATAATTGTAAGGTACTTTTCCTTTTCTAATGTGGCTTCTTACCTACTGAAAAGGGAAGAAAAAGAAAACAAGTGTGAGAAAAGCAGCTTGAGACAGTTTTGAGGACCTGAGAGAAAATAGCTCCTCAGACAAATGTACCTATTTGTATTTGGTTTTGTTTTACAAAGCAAACCAATTATACACACACACACACACACACACACACACACACACACACACACACATGATAAATTGCATATAATCTTAGAGGAAAGGCGTGAGTAGTAAGGAGAATCAAGAAAGACTTCTTTTACAAGGTAGGGTTTTAGCTGGGTCCTGAAGGAAACCAAAGTATATCAATGAGGAGGGAAAGAATTCCAGGCATGGAGGCCAGCCACTGGGAGTGCCATGCGCAAAGAACAGCAAGGAAGTCGGTGTTACTAGATCGTAGAGTATAGGAAAGCTATCACAATAATCCATATGTGAGGTGAGGAGAACCCGCACCAGGGTGGTGGTGGTTATCACTGGAGAGAAGAGGGCATATAGGAGAGATGTTGTGAAAGTAACAACAAATCTTGGCAACAGATTGAACCCGGAGGGGTAAGAGAGAGCAAAAAGTCAAGGATGACATCTAAGTTTCAAACCTGGATAAAGATTTGTATTCAAATAATATTTGTAAAGCACTTTGTAAACCTTAAAGCATAGCTGTTAGTTTTATTATTATAAATAGATCTGAGAATTATCTGCATGGGGATGATAAGTGGATCCATGGAAGCTGCTGAAACCACCAAGTGAAGATTATAGAATGAGAAGAGAAAAAAGCTCAGGAGGGAGCCCTGTGGGACACTCACAGGGTGCTTGTGACCTTGATGAAGATCTAGAAGAAGAAATGCATCACCACCCCCCCTCCAAACCCCCCCCCCCAACTAATTCGAATATGACTGTTTTCAGGACTCTGTAATTTATTACTGGGGAAATCTGCAACAAAGAACCATTTGGGGACTATGGGACTGTTGTAAAGTAATTATAGTTCTTACACATGATGGAAATGTGGATTTGGGGGTTTCTCATCATCAAATAAAGGTGAATAACTTCACCCCAGGACCTCACTGCTTTGAAACAGGAAAATGATGAGAAGCCAGATCAGAAAATCTAGAGTCGCTGACCAAAGAACCCACAGGCAAGACAGATTAGGCTGCTCTAGCCCTTAGGAGTCCGCCAGACATTGTTATTAACAAGTTCCCTGCATTCTGATACCGCTTAGTAATGACAGGGTGGCAGATCTTCTCCAATTCTTTCTGCTGATGCCCAGTATCTTCTTTCCCAGCTTAGAGGCAGATGACTATTTCTTGACATTTGTCCTCTCTTCTCCTTTTTGTAGGCAAAGTTCTTGAGAAGGCTGTCTATAATCAAAGCCTTTTCACTCTTTTCTGAACTCTCTGTTGTCTGACTTCTAACCTCATCATTCAACCCAATGCTCTCTTCGTTGCCAAATCCAACGATCTTTCAAAAAAATTCTTATCCTTTTGACCTCTCTTCAGCCATTGGAGTCCCTTTTTCCACTGAGTCCAATGTTCCACGGGAGAGGTCAATGATTAGCTCTTCAAAATGGGTGTTCTACCTGGGATAGAAGTCAAAACCTTTATGGGGGGGCCAATCTCATTACTAGATGAGAGAGTGTATGTTGAACATTCCCAACCTATATGGAGGCAATGGATAACCTATTGTTCTTGGACAGACACATAGGAGGTCCTCATCTGTGACCCGAATTAAAGATCTTATCTTCAGTGGTAAGGATGGAGACATCAAAAGAGTCACCTCCAAGGTCTAAAAACAACATATATCTCTCAGCACCTATCATCAGCAGTATCAATAGTTGGCTCATTGATGGTTCAAAGCACATCGAGACCAAAGGTGGTTTTGGCATCTTTGATGGCCTGACATTGGGCGTCATGGAAGTAGGCTGGTATAGCGACCTCAGTATTTGTAGCAGTCTTCCCTAGACATGCTTCAAAATTTCTTTCCTCTTTATCAAGACCATAGAAGGTATTTCCTCCGGACAGAAGCTTTTGGTCTCTTCTTTGCTCTCCACTTGGACCTTAGCCCTACCTATGCCATTTACCACCAGGAAACACAGTGCTAACACAGCGCTCCTTGTCTGACGATGCAATTGCATCATCAAATTTGAGACCAATCAGATGCTTGCCCCTGTTAATTGGTTTTGTTGCAACCTGATTCTTTGCAGCATTGACCGATCGAATGTTAGGTGTTTGGTGTTTGGTGAAGGCAACATAATTCTGGGTTGATTGTATCTCCTTGGTCATCTGCAGTGATTTTCACTTTCCCATTTTGGAAGACACTCATACAAAAATATGTGGTGCCAATATCTATGCTAACTGGAT